TAGGTTCAATTCAGAAAAAAAAAATTGAGAATGAAAAAATCATTCTCATCCACACATTTATTTTGTCGCAAAACACATAGGCGTGCTGACGGAAATAAGTAACGGATACACATGTATTTTCCAACCAAACATATTTCTTTAAACTATGCTAATAATTATCTTAATATACACAAAAACAATTTTTTTATTTATTTTTAGAAATCTATTTTTATCGAAAAATGATATTAAATATATCAAAATTCATAATTTTTTATTCTCTATAAATAGACATCTATATTGATATAGTTTTAAGATAAAATAATTTTTTTTTAGAGTTTCAGCTCTCGTTTTTCATAAGTGAATAAAAATGCATCAGATTTTTATTACAGTACATTCATTATTCACTTATGAATAAAACGTATGCTTATCTTTTTTAAAGTAAAAGTATGGTTCCTATATGAATATAACACTTAATAAAGTTTTCTTACCTAAAATATATTTTTTTACGTTGTCTTTCATCACATGTTATATTTATATATAAATAAAACTTGTATTAGTTGTCGTTATATGTTATATTCATATATGAATAAAACATTAATCAAATTTTTGTTACAGTTCATTTGTTATTCATATATGAATAAGTACTATGTTAATAAAAGACGAAATGTTTTGAAAATTTAAACTACTTATTCATATATGAATAACAAATGATTTGTAACAAAATTATGATAAATGTGTTCTTCGTATATGAATATAACTTGTAAGGAAAGCTAATAGATGTTTTATTCATATGTAAATATAACATGTGACGATATTTGATGTAAACTGTAAAGAGTTTATTATATGTTATACTCATATATGAATGATACTTAAACTGTAAAGAAAAAAGTAATCATAATTTTTATTCATAAGTGAATAACGAATGTATTGTAGTAAAAATCTAATCTATTTTTATTCATTTATAAATAACGATAGTTGAAACTATAAAAAAAATAAAATTTTTATTTTATCTTAAAACTATATTAATATGGATGTCTATTTATAGAGAATAAAAATTATGAATTTTGATATATTTAAAATCATTTTACGATAAAAATAGCTCCTTAAAAATTAAAAAATTAAAAAAACTATGTTTATATATATATATATATATAT